TTTACTCTATCTTGAGAGGAAATTAGCGCTTAAGAGAAACCGATTTGCTACGTTCTGCCTCCGTCGCTGGGGATCTCTTGCTGGTTCTTCTCTTCCTTTTTCTTCTTTCTTCTTGTTCTTGTTCTTCTTTTCTTTCGTCTTGTTCTTCTTTCTTCTTCTTCTTCTTTCCCCTTTTCTTCTTTCTTATTCTTATTCTTTTCCTTCTTATTATTTTATTATTTTCTTTCTTATTCTTTTCCTTTTTCTTCGTTCTTCTTCTTTGTTTACGTTTTCGTCATATTATTATTATTATTATTATTGTTATTATCATTATTATTAATATCATTATTATAATTCGACTTCGTCCTCGTCTGCGCGTTCTTCTTCGTCTCCGTTTTCGTCTTATTATTATTATCATTAATATTATTATTATTATTTTCATTATTATTATTCGTCTTCTTTCTCGTCTCCGCCTTCTTCTTCTTCGTGTTCGTCCTTGTCTTCTTCGTAATTAATCCGATCGCTCAAGACCACGCTTACAAACTCTCCTTCATTTTCTCTTTCTTATTTTTCCTCCTTTTCTTCGTCCCCTTCCCCCTTTTTATGCTTTTCTCTTCCTTCTACTTCTTCTTCCTTCATTTCTTTGCCCATCTTTCAACCTTCCTCTTTTATTCCTTCTATACTTTACCTATCGTTCATTAACGTAACCAACTCGAAAGGAAGAAATGAGATAAAAAAAGAGAGAGGAAAGAAAAAATTGAAGAGATCGCCGAATGAGATGAAAGAAAAAATAAGAAAAAAGGTAGAATGGAAAACAAAAAGAAAAACAAATAGAAAGGGTATAGGAAGGGAGGAAAGAGAAACAGTGGAAATGGATACTTAATGAAATGAAAAAAAAAGAAGAATGGAGAAAATGAAGTCGAAAAAAAAACATTGGTAATATTCTACTGCGGGTTTCACAGGTATCAAAGAAGCTTATTAATAGCCTCCATTTCTCCATTTACCGAATATGAGGTATTTTCGACCCTTTTGTAAACTTTTTTGTGTATTTCATGTCCCACTTTGCGCAACTTTCAAACAGTTTCTAATTCTATGCTAAGTCTCGTTTTTTTTCGGTGATGATACTGAAATATTTTAGATTCCATTGATACGATTCATTTCCTTTTATATTCTCATGCTCTATCAAATTTACTAAGTTATATTTCTTTCATTTTTCTCCATTCCCTATTTTCGGTACTCCATTTATATAACCTTTTTTTTCATCTTCAAAATTACCTTTTTTTTTAGAAATGATACCGACGTATTTCGTCCCAAAAGGCATTTCAAAACCGTCATTAAGCAAATCGCTAATGGGACAATATCCTGACGTCGTGACTGAGAAGGTGATTAAATCTCATTGCAAGGAGAGTTGCAATTTCAAGAACGGTAATGAGAGCAATTTTTTGCTATTTTGCGACGTCCTAAGGGGGTTTCTAAGGAGGTTTCTAGGGGTCTTCAAACACTTGCAATTAATATGTCGGAGGTTTCACGTTGCAAGTTACGGTACGGACCTTTGCGTTTCAATACCTCTAGTGCTAGTTGTATTTTTATTGTTTTCTTGAACTCACTAACTTTTATTTTTATTACTTTGTTCCCTGTTTAAGGACTCTTTTTTTTTTGTAATTCCTTTAGTTATGCGTAAAAATTACCGTTTTCCTTCTCTGTCTCGCTTCCTCTTTCTCTCGTTCTTTCCGTCTCTCTCTCTCTCTCTTTCTTATTGTTTTTTTCTTTGTCTCGCTCCCTTCTTCTCTCGATCTTTCCGTCTCTCTCTCTCTCTATCTATCTATCTATCTATCTCTCTATCTCTCTCTCTCTCTCTCTCTCTAGCTCTCTCTCTCTCTCTAGCTCTCTTTTTTTCTCTCTCTCTCTGCCTCCCTCTCCCTCTCAATCAAGTATGAGTCACTCCTAGAATTTTGATAAGGTAATTATCCAAACACCTGATGAAAACAGGTGCCATATAATTTATTGGATCCTCTTCCGAATTACAGGTAAATAGCAAATCAGGTCTTGTATCTTTATAAAGCCAATAGCGGTACTTTTGAAGTTTATGGAGAGGGAAATACATACATATGTACATCTTCATTTATTGTTATAATTCTTCATTAACTCAACTTCTTTGGAAAATGTGGATAATGTTTGTGTGTCGTAGATTTTTTTTAATCAGGTTTTATCATTATTATCATTGCTGTCATTATCATTATAATCATGACTGTTAAAATCATTATCTTATTCTTACTATAGTTATCATAGAATGTACCTTTGTCGTTTTCTTTTGTAAGGGGTGATATTTTTCGAAATTGGACGAATGAAAAAGGAAGAGGATGGTTATAACGGGAAAGTTAGTGAAAGGGGAGGAGGAGGAGGAAGAGGAGAGGAGGAGATAGAAAAGAACGGTGATGATGATAAGATGGTGATGGTGGTGATGATGATGATGATGATGATGATGATGATGATGATGATGATGGTGATGGTGATGGTGATGATGATAATGGTGATGGTGATGGCGTTAAAAATGATGGCAATAATAAAATTGATTAGTGTAATAATGACAATAACAACAGTAATAGAAACTATAATAATATAACAATAATACTAATATTACTCCTACTACTAATAATAATAATAAAAATAATAATAACAATAACAATAATACTACTAATAATAATGATACTAATAACATCAATAACAATAATAACAACACAACATTAATAACAACAACAACAACACCAACGAAGAAACAGATAAATCAGGACTAAAAACAAAGGGAGGAGAGGGAGGCGAAGCAGACGGTGTGTGGAGGCCGCGTGACACAGACGGAGAGGCAAGGAAGCGACAGGAGAGATCTCTGAGTGTGAAGTGGGGGGGGAAGGGGGGAGAGAAGAGAGGGGGAGAAGGAGAGGAGAGGAGAGGAGAGGAGAAGAGAGGATAGGATAGGATAGGAGAGAAGAGGAGAGAGGGTGAGAAAGAAGGAGGGAGGGAGGGAGAGGAGAGGAAAGAGAGGGAAAGGGGGAAAGGGGGGCAAGGAGAGAAAGAGAAAGAGAGAGAGAGAAAGAGAAAGAGAAGAAAGAAACAGATAAACAAAATAAGAAACAAACACTCTCCCATCCCCTCTATCTACTCATCTTCCACCTATCTATCCAAACATCGAAATACGACCTAACTCAGTGAAACGAACGAGTGAGTAATAGCGATGACATTCGAAAAACGCTACAAAATCTTCTCGTAAATTCTTCAGGTTGACATGTGAACTTAGTAATTTTTTAATAAATGTTTTTTTGAAATTCCAATTCATGGCAACAACACTGAATTCAAAAATGATAATATGTGGATAATGTGGATAAATAATAATAATATCATATTGATAATAACATTGATATAATGATAACAATAATATGATAATAATAATAATAATAATTATAATAATAATAATAATAATAATAATAAAAGAACAACATTGATGATGATGATGATGATGATTTAATAATATAATAACAATAATAGTGATAATGATGAAAAGGAAAATGATAATAATGATAAAAATAACATAAAGATTAATAATAACAATAATAACGATAATAGTAATAATATTGATAATATAAAATACAATGACATCAACAGCAATAACAATAATAACAACAAAGCAACACTCATAACAGCAGCGACAACACTAACAACAACAGCTTAAATAACACCAACAAACCATCAGTAAGGGCCAAACCGACGTCACTCTAGTCATTTGATTAAATTGTTTTCTTACCAGTCACCCTCACTCCTGCAATATCACACTTATTACTGTTGACTCTTCATGCACTGGCGTATATCCCCGTCGCTCAGCTATTTACGAGAGGTTTATCACTGTCATTCTACAGTAAGCCAGCGTACCTCTAATATATTTCAACTAACATATTTCTCCCACGTTCCATGGACTCTGTGCCGTGAGTACTTTGGCTGTGTACTTTTTTTTTTCGCCGCGCTCGGAAACGCGTGTGTCCTCACGTGCACGTATATATTGCCTAGTCATTTGCAAGTTACGAGGTCGAGTCTTACCTTGAGGGAACTGATGTGGTCGCTATTAACAGGTAAGGCTGATGTATGGTCCTTGTTGGGATATTATAATCGTGGTTTGTATCATGCGTTGTATTTTGATTGGGAAAGATGTTGGGAGAAGGGAGAGGGATAAGGATAGAGAGAGGAGAAGAAGGAGAGGGAGAGGGAGAGGGAGAGGGAGGAGGGAGAGGGAGAAGGAGAGGGAGAAGGAGAAGGCGAAGGAGAGGGAGAAAGAGAAGAAGATGGAGTAGAAGAGGGCCAGGAAGAACGCGAAAGAAACAGTGAGTTTATTCAAAAGAAGGAAAAGAAAGAAAAATAATAAACTGGCGACAACCCACATACTACAAACACATCGACAATACGCGCATACACACACACACTATCAAACAGACACACACACAGACACCCACGTACACACTCCCGGCGGAAGTTGCAAAGCCGAGTTGAGGGGTTGACAGACAGCATGCAATAGTTTAATTCTATGAAAGGACCCATTGTGGACGGCGCGAGCATTTCCTGTTGCGCAAAAGAAACAGCTTCGGCATAGCTGGATATTTTTGGCCTGGGAACTTTTAAAAGCGATAAATTGCATTAAATTGTTCTGAAACGTTTCGAACTACGGCTAAGGTGATGGTGCTGTATAAAGTTATGGTGGATTCTTCTAGGTTATTTTTATATTTATTAAGGCGATGTTCTGTTGATGCCGCACCGAACACTGTATCTTTCTGAAGGCGAACGCGCATTTTTATAAACAGCGGGAAGAAATATATATGTCTTATTTTCCTCCATAGTTTGAGTTGAGACAGAGCAGTGACAAAAAAAAATAAGAAGTTAATTATGTTTTCAACGTTGGCGACACTGCATGTGCGTGCACTTGCAAAAACTGAAAAAAACAAAAACACACACACAAAAAAAATACAATGGTATCATCTTACCTGCGGAGGTTGTCAGTTGTTGATTCCAAAGATAATGATAATGTTATATTCTTGGGGCATACAACACTCGTTTCAATCACCAGGTTTAATAGTTGCAATGCAATTCCACTGGTATCTGCGGCACAATCGCTATCGACAAGCTCTCAGTGCAAAAATCACCGAACATACATGAAACTGATTCAAAGAGACTCAATACATCGAATTCTTAATTCACTCGGCATAAATCACAACTTTTCATAGAAGAAGGGCTGGAAGCAGAGCGGTACCTTTCAACCTCTCCTCGACTATAAACAAACTGAGGAGGCAAGGTTATCTTTCCTGATGTCAAAGTCATATTCTGAAGTTGTCGTACTCACATGAGCTCGCCGCCTTTTTGTGAAAAACTCAAAAAAAATAACCATTCGTTTTAAAAGGACTTTGAACCCATCTAGAGATTAATATTATATCAATTTCAGACCTAAACTGAAAAAAAGACAAACGAAATGAGCGTATGGACTCCCTCCACCGGGTGCGCTCGTACGTCTGGCAGGTGAATCCAAGGTTGGGATGATCATGGTGTGTTTTTGCATCCTGTGAACATTAACCCTCGGCGTTACGGGGCGAAGGGAATGGGGCACAAAGGATTACCCCGATCAAGATTTAAAAAAAAGAAAGAGAGAAAAAAAAAGAGAGCGGGAGTAAAAGAAAAAAAGAAAAAAAAAATACTGTAACTCAGTTAAATGATGTAGCGGTCTAGATATCTCAATGGCTTTTCGAGAAGAATTGTGCGTGTGAAGTTCTTTTTTTTTCTTTCTTTCTTGTTTTTTTTTCTTCTTCTGTTTCTTTTTCTGTTCGAAGTTCGAGGCGTTTTTCTTTTATAGTCTCCTTGGGTGTTCGTCAAGCACTCTCGTTTCGCATACCCCCCCCCCCCCCGTCTTTTGAAATTAGATTCGTAAAAAAAAACTAAAAAAAAAAAAAAACAACAACAAAAAACATGCCTAGTGAGAATAAACAACTATATAAATCTAATTCAAAGCAGAACCTATTTCTAGTGAAAAAAACAACTATGTAAATCTAATTCAAAGAAAAACCTTTTCCTCCAACCCAGAGTTTACGTCGCGTTGAAATATCACCTCAACACAACCCGCCTTTAGCCCTGCCACGACTGTCTTTCCCGCGAGACACTATATACATCCTGTAGCTGCTGCCACTTCTTGCTCTAGCATCCACCCATCCACGCGCACGCACATGCAAATATACGCACGCGCGTACACCCACACGCAGATACACAGATACACAGATATGCAGTGAATATACAGCATTCGCCCACACACACGCAAACATACTAATGCACACATACGCACACACACATACACACACATACACACACACACACACACACACACACACACACACACACACACACACACACACATACACACACACACACACACACACACACACACACACACACACACACACACACACACACACAAAGGAGAGAAGGGGGGTGAGATGGAGAGGTAGATGTAAAGAGAAGGGAAGAGAGAGAGAGAGAGAAAGAGATGAAGAAGAAGAAGAATGGAGGGAGAAAGAAAGAAAGAAAGAGAGAGAAGGAGAGTCGGAAAAAAATGGTGAGAGAGTAAGAGAGAGAGGGGAGAGAGAAAAAGAGAGAGAGAGAGAGGGGGGGGGGGAGAAAGAGAGAGAGAGAGAGAGAAAGAGCAGACACAGACAGAGATATAATACATATACATATGCATTCATAACTTACGCTGCCGTATGCGTTTATATCTTGCAGGTTACCATAGCCTCTTTGCATAACGCCACTGATATCATTATTATTCATCTTTTGTTTCGTGTTATGCGTGGGTGAGTACTTGCGTATAGGCTTCAAGAGAGAAAAGAAAATCCGATGGGAGAAGGTATTTCAGATGTGGGTGTGGGTGAGTGGGTGTGGGTGTATTTGTATGTGTGTTTGTGTTTGTAAGGGTGTGTCTGTGTGTGTATGTGTGTGTGTGTGTGTGTGTGTGTATTTGTATGTGTGTGTGTATTTGTACATGTGTTTGTGTGTGTGTGTGTGTTATGTGGGTGTATGTGTTTGTGTGTGTGTGTGTTGTGTGGGTGTATGTGTTTGTGTATTTGTGTGTGTGTGTGTGTGTGCGTATGTGTGTGTATATTTGTTTGTGTATATCTGTATATATGTATGTGTATGTGCGTGTGAGTGTGTGTGTGCGTATGTGTGTATGTGTGTGTGTGTGTGTGTGCGTATGTGTGTGTGTGCTTATGTGTGTATGTGTATGTGTGTGTGTGTATGCGTGTATGTATGTATGTGTATGTATGCGTGTGTGTGTGCATCGTATAAACTGAAACTACCTTTACATCGCTATATAATTCGCAAACGGGAAGCTTAGAGACTCGAACACCAAAAATTCAAAAAGCTCTTGAACTCACTCTCCCCCCCTTCCTTCACTCGCTGGCAGTCTTTCACAGTATCAAAAGCAATTTTCTTCTCTTATCCGGAGTTTGAAATTAGCCTTTCCAACAATGATTTTTTTTTCAATAAAGATTTACTCCAGTTTTTTTTTTTTTTTTGAGTTAATATACGATACCGCCACCTGATAAATAGATAAATAAATTGTAGGTAAGCTAAAATACCTACAAAACACGAATACATTAAAAGCGGAGTTCATTCCTTTACCATAACGCTGAGAAAATTACAGAGCATATTGCATGTTGCACGTTGCTTTCACAAGATGCAAGTTTATACGTAAGACTCGAACATCCAGATTGGTTCGTTCGTTAGATAGTTAGTTTTTTTTTCGGGAATTGAAAGACGAATATTTAAAGTTGATATCGTTAGTAAAGAGAAAATACTGTTTTTTTGTTGTTGTTGTTGTTTGTTTGTTTTCAATTCTCGGCATTGTTTCATCAAAGCAAAAAAAAAAAAAAAAAAAGAAAAAATGAGTGAAAATTCAATGTGGAAATAACTTATCGACGAATATGGCCTCTGATGATAGTAATTATATTAGTAATTGTATTAGTATTGTTGGTTATATGAAAACAGTGGACAAAGAAACTTGTGAAATTTGTTGATATAGTTTTAAAAGGAATATAATTATGGTGGAAAAAGGTAAAGATAACAAAAATAACGTAATTATCATCCAACTGTAAAATTCTCATTAACTTTATCATGTGTGTGACTCACCAAGATGTTTGAAATTTTAATTAATGATAAGTTCGGTTGCGTCTATACAAGTTAAAAATTATTTTCTCGTTTTATGGAGACGTATTCGGGTGTTCTCTCTCTCTCTCTTTCTCTCTCTCTCTCTCTCTTTCTTTCCCTCTCTCTCTCTCTCTCTCTCTCTCTCTCTCTCTCTCTCTCTCTTCTCTCTCTCTCTCTCTCTCTCTCCCTCTCTCTCTCTTCTCTCTCTCTCTCTCTCTCTCTCTCTCTCTCTCTCTCTCTCTCTCTCTCTCTCTCTCTCTCTCTTCTCTCTCTCTCTCTCTCTCTCTCTCTCTCTCTCTCTCTCTCTCTCTCTCTCTCTCTCTCTCTCTCTCTCTCTCTCTCTCTCTCTCTCTCTCTGTCTCTCTCTCTGTCTCTCTCTCTCCCTGGAGGAATGGAGGAAAGAGAGGGGTCGAAGAAAAGGGAAGAGGAGAAGGAGGAGGAGGAGAGAAAAGGAGAGGGGAGAGAGAGAAGGGGAAGGAGCATAAAGAGGATAAGGAGAAAGAGGGAGGAGGGAAGGATGAGAGAAGGAAATAATGAATAGAGAGGAGGAAGAGGAGGAAGAGAGAGAAGGAGAAAGGAGAGAGAGAAGGAGAAGGAGTATGAAAAGGAGAAGGAGGAATAGGGGGGGGGAGGAAGAATGAGAGAAGGGAAAAGATGGAAAGAATAAGGAGGAATAGGGGGGAGGGAAGAATGAGAGAAGGAAAAGATGAATAGAGAGGAGGAAGAGGAGAAGGAGGAGGTGAAGTGAAGAGCAAAAAGTGAGAAGGAAAAGAGGAGCACGGAAAGAAGAGCACAGAGGAGGAAGAGGAGAAGGAGGAGGAGAGAAAGGTAAGAGGAGGGAAGGCGAGAGAGTTAGAGGAAGAGGAGGAAGAGAGAGAAGGAGAAAGGAGAGAGAGAAGGAGAAAGGAGAGAGAGAAGGAGAAAGGAGAGAGAGAAGGAGAAAGGAGAGAGAGAAGGAGAAAGGAGAGAGAGAAGGAGAAAGGAGAGAGAGAAGGAGAAAGGAGAGAGAGAAGGAGAAAGGAGAGAGAGAAGGAGAAAGGAGAGAGAGAAGGAGAAAGGAGAGAGAGAAGGAGAAGGAGTATGAAAAGGAGAAGGAGGAATAGGGGGGGGGAGGAAGAATGAGAGAAGGAAAAGATGAATAGAGAGGAGGAAGAGGAGAAGGAGGAGGAGGAGAGAAAAGGAGAGGGGAGAGAGAGAAGGAGAAAGGAGAGAGAGAAGGAGAAAGGAGAGAGAGAAGGAGAAGGAGTATGAAAAGGAGAAGGAGGAATAGGGGGGGGGAGGAAGAATGAGAGAAGGAAAAGATGAATAGAGAGGAGGAAGAGGAGGAAGAGAGAGAAGGAGAAAGGAGAGAGAGAAGGAGAAGGAGTATGAAAAGGAGAAGGAGGAATAGGGGGGGGGAGGAAGAATGAGAGAAGGAAAAGATGAATAGAGAGGAGGAAGAGGAGAAGGAGGAGGTGAAGTGAAGAGCAAAAAGTGAGAAGGAAAAGATGAATAGAGAGGAGGAAGAGGAGGAAGAGAGAGAAGGAGAAAGGAGAGAGAGAAGGAGAAGGAGTATGAAAAGGAGAAGGAGGAATAGGGGGGGGGAGGAAGAATGAGAGAAGGAAAAGATGAATAGAGAGGAGGAAGAGGAGGAAGAGAGAGAAGGAGAAGGAGTATGAAAAGGAGAAGGAGGAATAGGGGGGGGGAGGAAGAATGAGAGAAGGAAAAGATGAATAGAGAGGAGGAAGAGGAGGAAGAGAGAGAAGGAGAAAGGAGAGAGAGAAGGAGAAAGGAGAGAGAGAAGGAGAAAGGAGAGAGAGAAGGAGAAAGGAGAGAGAGAAGGAGAAAGGAGAGAGAGAAGGAGAAAGGAGAGAGAGAAGGAGAAAGGAGAGAGAGAAGGAGAAAGGAGAGAGAGAAGGAGAAAGGAGAGAGAGAAGGAGAAAGGAGAGAGAGAAGGAGAAGGAGTATGAAAAGGAGAAGGAGGAATAGGGGGGGGGAGGAAGAATGAGAGAAGGAAAAGATGAATAGAGAGGAGGAAGAGGAGGAAGAGAGAGAAGGAGAAGGAGTATGAAAAGGAGAAGGAGGAATAGGGGGGGGG